TATGTAACAAGTGCTTCAAGTTCTCCTCACTTTCAGCAAGCAAGGTTGTGTCATCTGCATAACGCAGGTTATTGATGAGCTTTTCCTCTAATCTTGATGCCATATTCTTCATAGAATCCAGCTTCTTGAACCATTTTATCTGCATACAGATTGAATAGAGAGTACAGTCCTGACACACTCTTTTCTTAATTTTAAACCATATAGGGTTTCCCTTGCTCTGTTTGCACAACAGCCTCCTGGTCTAGGTATAGATTTCACATGAGCACAATTAAGTGTTCTGGGATTCTCATTCTTTTCAATGTTAGCCAAAACTTGTTATGATCCACATAGTAAAATGCCTTTGCATAATCAATAAAGCACAAAGATACATTCTTCTGGCATTCTTTGCTTTCAGCTAAGATCCATCTGACATCAGCAATGATATCCCTGGTGCCATGGCCTCTTCTAAATATGCCTTGAACTTCTGACAGTTTTCTACCTATGTACTGTTCTAGCCTTTTTTGGAATGATCTTCAGCCGTATTTTCCTTGCATGTGATGTTAATGATATTGTTTGACAGTTTCAACATTCAGTTGGATTACCTTTTTTGGGAATAGGAACAAATATGGATGTCTTCCAATCAGTTGGCCAGAAAGCTGTCCTCCAAATTTTCTGGCATAGACTGGTAAGTATGTCCAGCGCTGCATGTTAATTGAAATAAGTGAATTGGTATCCCACCGATTCCTGAGATGATAGATCTATCTATCTATCTATCTATCTATCTATCTATCTATTTAATGTTTTTTTGCCAATGCCTTCAATACAACTTCCACTTCCTTCTTCATTACCATTGGTTCCTGCTCATGTGGTACTTTGGGAATGTTTCATGGCCAGTCAGTTCTTTTTGTTACAGTGACTCTGTGTATTCCCTCCATCTTCTTTTTCGCCCTCCATGCTGCTTCTTTTGATACATCCTGAGTCATCTAATATTCATAGCATCTTCTATATTGCAACATGAGGCTTCAATTTGTTTTTCAGTTTTCTTAGCTTGAAAAATGCAGAGCAAGTTCTTCCCTTTTTAGTCTCCAATTCCAGCTGTCTGCACATTCCATTATACTTTGCTTTGTCTTCTTTTTTTTATTATTTTTTGTGTGTGTACCGTCAAATCAGATCTGACTGGTACAGGAGGATATTGCTCCTTCTTCTCCGGCAGAACATCGGGTGGATTCAAACCGTGTACCTCTGAGATTGCAGTGCAGCTTCTTGCCACTAGGCCACCAGAGCTCCCCTGCTTTGTCTTCTTGAGCTGTCCTTTGAAATCTGTTCAGCTCTTTTATTTTTACATCTTTTCCTTTTGTGTTGGCTGGCTGATGCTCTAATGCAATTGTTAGAGTCTCTGATATCCATTTCAGTTTTTCTTTTCTCCTCTGTCTTTGTAATGACCTTTGCTCTCTTCATGGATGATATCCTTGATGTCATCCCACAACTCATCTTATCTTCCATCATTGGTTTTCAATACTTCAAATATATTTTCAAGATGATTTTTAAATTCATATGGAATAGATTAAAGATCATATTTGGTTCTCGTGGACTTTTTAAAGTTTCTTCAGCCTCAATTTGAGTTTGCACATGAGCAATTGATGCTCTGACCCACAGTCAGCCCCTGCTGATAACGAGCTTCTCCAATGATTCCTTCCACAAATGTAGTCAATCTGATTCCTATGCAGCCGATCAAGTGAGGTCCAGGTGGAAAGTTGCTGTTTGTATCACAAACATATTTGTTGTTTGTTATGTGCTGTCGAGTCGCCTGTGAGTCATAGCAACCCTATGTACAACAGCTCTAAACTCTGCTCTGTCCTGTGCCAATCTCACTGTCTCCCGACACACCCATTCTGATTACTCCAGTCACTGAATCAATTCACCTCATAGAGGGTCTTCCTCTCCTGTGCTGTCCCCCCACCCTCCCAAGCTTGATGTCCTTCTCCAAGGACCGGTCCCTCCTTGCAACATGTCCAAACTATGTCAGACAAAGCCTCAGAATTCTTGCCTCCAAGGAGTAGCCTGGTTTAACCCTCTCAAGGATGAACCTGTTCATTTTCTTAGCAGTCCATGGTACATTCAATACTCTTCTCCAGCACCACAGCTCAAAGGCATCAATTCTCCTTTTATCCTCCCTAGTCATTGTCCAGCTCTCTGACACATAGCAAGTGATTACAAAGACCATGGCCTGTATCAGGTGTACCTTAGTCTCCAGAGTGACACCATTGCTCTTCAGTACCCTGGAGAGGTCCTTAACAGTAGACTTTCCCATTGTGATACGTCTTTCAGTTTCCTAGCTGCTGGTGCCCAGAGTGTTGACTGTGAGCCTAGCAAACTAAAGCTGTTAATCTCTTCACCATCCATCACGATGCTGCCAATCGGCCCAGGGGTGAGAATCTTTGTCTTCTTGACATTGAGCCTCAATCCATATTGAAGGCTGCAGTCCTTCAGGTCCTCCTCAGTTTCAGCAAGCAGGGTTGTGTCATCTGCATAACGCAGATTGTTGATGGATCTTACACCAATCCTGATGCTACACTATTGAGCAAATGTGCTGTCAAGGACCTCTTTTTTTATGACGGTAAAAGAGTAATGATAGATTTAGTAGGAAGTTACATCCTGGGAGGGAAGGAGAGGGAGAAAATTGTGCAACAATGAATGAATATTAAAAGAAACAGAACTGGGGAGAGGGATGGAAGGGGGAGGAAGGGAGGGAGGAAAATGTGCAACAATGAATGAGTCAAAAGCCAACTTTTCGGTAAACGTTCCTTTAAATCGCAGTTCAAATTAAAAATTTTCTTTAAAAAAAATTACATCCTCAAAGGGATGGACCTCTATACTTGAAAAAGATATAGAGAGAGTGTCAAAGACCTCTTAAAAAACAAAGATAATACTTTATGGAAGAGGTCCATATTTGTTTCCATTCCCAAATTGGAACACTTTTGAAAAATTTCCAAATGTGGAAACTATTGATCAATATCACTGATATCACATGCAAGCAAAATACTGCTAAAGATCATTCAAAAATGGCTGGAACAGTACATAGATAGGAAACTGCCAGAAGTTCAAGCCAGATTTAGAAGAGGCTGTGGCACTTGGGATATCATTGCTGATGTCAGATGAATCCTGGCTGAAAGTAAGGAATACCAGAAAGAATGTCTATTTGTGCTTCATTGACTATGCAAAAGTGTATGGATCACGTATGCAAAGACTGTATGGATCATGCCAATTTAGGCTGACATTGATAAGGAATGGGAACCCCAGAGCACTTGATTGTGCTCATGGGGAACCTATACTTGGAGCAGGAGGCTGTTGTGCGAACAGAGCAGTGAAACACTGCATGATTTGGAACTGAAAAGGGAGTGTGCCAGGGTGGCATTCTCTCTCCATACCTATTCAATCTGGATGCTGAGCAAATTATCTGAGAAGCTGGACTCTGTGAAGAGAAGAATGGCATCAGGATTGGAGGGAGACATCAATAATCTGTGTTATGCAGATGACACAACCTTGCTTGCTGAAAGTGAGGAGGGCTTGAAGTACTTGTTGCAGAAGATCAAGGAATGGTATGGATTGGCATCTCAATGCCAGGAAAATAAAGAGTCTTTCTTACCACTGGACCAATAGGCAGCATCATGATGGATGGAAAGGAGATTGAAACTGTCAACAGCTTCATCTTGCTTGGATCCACAATTAACACCCTTGGTACCAGGAGTCAGGAAATAAGGAGACACATTGCAATGGGAAAATCTTCAGTTAGAAACCTCTCCAAATTATTGAGGAGTAGTGATGTCAGTTCAAAGAGTAAGATACGTCTGATTCAGGCCATAGTCTTTCTGATTGCTTGCTGTGCATCTGAGACCTGGACAACAAATAAGGATGACAGAAAAAGAATTGACACCTTTGAGCTGTGGTGGTGGAGAAGGGCAGTGAACACCCCATGGATGGCCAGGAGAGGGTGCAGCCAGCGTGCTCCTTGGAGGCAGGAGTGAGGAGGCTTTGCCTCACAACCTTGGGGCATGTTGGTAGGAGGGGCTATGCCTTGGAGAGGGACATGATGCTGGAAAGGGTGGAGGGTCCTCGAAGGAGAGGAAGACCCTCCACCAGGTGTATTGGCACGGTGACTGCTGCAATGAGCTCTAGTGTGTCAGGAAGTGTGAGGACGGCGCAGGATAGAACAGGGTTCAGATCTTTTCAGATCTTTAGGGTCACTATGAGTCATACTCGACTCGACGGCACCTAACAACAACGACAACCATGATGTTGTCTACCGGTCCAGGGGTATTTTTTGTTTTCTTGATACTGAGATGTAACTGAGATCGAAGACTGTTGTGTTTGATCTTCCCCTCAAGGAGATTAATTTTGAAGATGGGGAAGGAATGCGTGGTGGTGACCTAGTGGCAAGAAGGTCCGCGGCAGTCCTGGAGGCACGCGGTTCGAGTCCACCAGTTGCTCTGTGAGAGAAGGATGGATCATCTCCTCCCTTTTGATTAACTGTTTCTGAAAAGCCGCTGGACAGTCAGCTATGGGTTGGTTCTGACTCGAAGGTACACAACAACAACATGAGACGGAACACACTAACAAGTAAGAACGGCCATAAGTAAGTCAACAAGTAAGAACCAGACCATCTGGTCGGGGGTCTGTGGAGCCGCGTCGCAGACCTGCGTTTGCCCCTCGCGCGCTTTCCCACCCGCCATGGTCGCGTAGGCGTATTACAAGCCCAGCCTCGCGCAGCAGTGAAGGTAGGAACCAACTGTACTCGCCACTCCCTCTTTACTCCAGAGTGTGCGGCCTGGAGATACGTCCAGCCAACCATTCAGGAGGACCTGCCTTGAGTGACAGGCATTTTATCCAGTCACCTGCAGGCAGCTTGCATGTGGGCCAATGGTGGCGCGGGGCGGGGTGGCGGTCACCTGATCGCAGCGGAGGAGGCGGCGGCGGCGGCGGCGGCGGCAGTGGCAGCCGGAGCGGTACAGACTCGGGTTGTGATGGCGGCGGCTCAGTGGCAGATGGGGGTGCGGCGGGCCTTGGCGCTCTGGATGATGCAGTGGCTGCTGCCGCTGTTACTGGCAGCGACGGCGACCGCAGTGCCAGCAGAGCAGCAGGTGCCGCTGGTGCTGTGGTCCAGTGACCGGTGAGTGGCCTGGGGTGGGGGTCGGGTGGGGGGTTGGACCAAGCTCGGCCTCACCTCTGACTCCGGAACGGGCTGGGCGGGGATGGCGAGCCCCGGGGGTTGAGGGGCTCACGCCTCTTGCCCGGAGCGCAGTGGGCCCGCTGGGCCGAGCTCCTGCCCCCGGCCGAGTGACGAGCCTGTGCCCTAACCTCGGCGCCCTGCTTGATGGCGCTTTGCTGTTTCAACGCAGGGACCTGTGGGCTCCTGCGGCCGACACTCACGAGGGTCACATCACCAGCGACATGCAGCTTTCCACCTACTTGGACCCCGCCTTGGAGCTGGGCCCCAGGAACGTGCTGCTGTTCTTGCAGGACAAGGTACGCCGCCCAGGCTTCCGTCATCATGAGGCCACCACGAGCCTTCCCCCACAGTACTTCTGCCCATTCCCCAAGTGACGCAGTGTGACCTTGTCCCAACTGTGAACAGGGGTGGCACACCTCTTTGAGGCCTGTAGGGGAAGCTTCGGTGGGAGTGGGGGGGCTCCGGAACAGCACTGTCTTGACTGGGAAGGTGGGCTGCATGTCTGCACACTGCCCACCCTTCAGGCCCCCGAGCTGGGCATTGAGGTTCTTTTGACCTGCGAAGACTGATGCCCAAGGAGGGAAGTGGCTTGCCCGAAGTCACACAGCATTGGTGGCAGAGTAGTGGTTCTGATTGAAAACAGTTCTGATCAAAGGCCTCACTTACAGGGTGACACCCCCCACCCCCCAGGCATCATGCTGTTGATGTCATGATCTGGGTTTCACTCCCCAGGAACTTAAGCTTTGTGGAGGGGAAGTGATTGCTAAAGTTCCACAGATTCTAGACACAAGAAACAGTTCCAGGAAGAGTTGGACGGGTCTGTGCTCAGGAGGAGTCGAGGTTCTCTCCCATCAGATCCCTCTGGCCTCCACAAAGGCACGAGACCATGAGAAATGTCTGCAAGCTTAGAATTGATGAAGGATGTTGTTGAACTGTGGCTTCCACATTTTGCTTTAGAGCTCTTCCCCTTGTGGTCTAGTGTGTTGTTGCTTGTTGAGTAGGCTGTGGTGATTCTGCCCTAGCCTTCCCTAAGGTGGTAAATCATGCAGTCCTACTTGAAGCCAGCCTAGTCCTACCGCTTATCTGCCCTCCAGGTTGTGAGGAGAGGTTCCTAGAACCTGTGGAAACCTAGGAGGCTTGTTCATCTACCAGGGTGAGGGGTTGCTCTGCCTCCGGTGTTCTTAGGTGGTGGAGATACACCAGTGAGCAGTATAACCCTAGGCCCTCTGGTCAGGAAGCTGACATTCTTTTGAGGGTGAGCGGTAACTGTGAAAGCAGGTGTTCAACACGTTGCCGCACACTTAAATTGGCAACCGTGCTTAGAAACACATTTTTATTTTTTTTGCCATCGTTTGCGGCAATGTGTTAAAGCAGCACCAGTGCTATAACCTACAATATCAGAAGCTGGTTGCTGTCAGATCAAGGTGGTCTGCCAGGGCTTCTCCAAAGAGGGACTGTTGAGTAGAGACCTCAGTGGAATGGACAGAAGCCACGCGGTTGAGAGGGAAGGCTGTTCCAGGCCAAGAGAACAGCATATGCAAGGGCTGGGTGCCTGGAGTGAAGTGAGGGGGAGGGGTCGGCAGAGCTGGCACTCAGATGAGGTGGCCCTGGTAGGTTGGAGATGAGTCTGGTCAAACTGCTCAGTGCTGGAGGGAGACCTGTGGTAGAAGTGCTATGGTGTCCTGATCGAAGGGTACATACGGCACCCACCTGTCCCTGTCTGTCTGCAGAAAACCAGGCTTCCCCTGGCTTTAGGAAGGAGAGTCTTGGCCCTCAAAGGAGCTTAGCTGTCCTGCTAGAGACAGAGGAGGTGGGGTCAAGTTTGTTTGCTAAACAGCAGAGTTAGGGAAGCTGATTGGCTTGGCCTCTGGGCTGAAGCGAGAAAAGCCAGAGGCAGCTGGGACTGAGAGGTGGGAGTAGAAGTGAAGGACATTGCTGGGTTGCAGAGGCAAAGGTTTGGGGCTGGGGAGTGCCAGAGACTTGAAAATGTTTCTACCAGCATTTCCCAAGACTCTGCCTCTCCCGTCTTCCAAAACAGGCAGGGAGGGGAAATTCTCAAGTCCCTTTGAAAGGATCCCAGACTTGCGTGCCACCCGGGCAGCCTCCCACCCTGGCAGCCTTGTCTCTCTGCTTTCAGTCCCAGGGGAGGGGCAGGGTGCCTGGCCTCTCCTGCTCCTCAGCTTCCCTCTTCACAGTTCCTCTTGTCCCTCCGATGACTTGACTCCTGTGACCAGTTAGATTTCCTGCCTCGTGACACTGAACATTCTGGAGGGAAGGAGAGTACCCCTTCAACCGTCCTCCAAACGGGCCCTCCTGAGCCCTGCCCTTGACTTGCCCAGCCTCAGATGACTGTCCCTCTTCCCCCTAGTTGAGCATTGAGGATTTCACTGCGTATGGAGGAGTGTTTGGCAACAAGCAGGACAGCGCCTTTTCAAACCTGGAGGTAAGAGGCCCCAGGTGGGTGCTGTGCAACATCTGGGGGTCCTGCAGCCCACCCGTAGCATGATACCAACTCCCCTAAGGAAGAAGACACTGGCTGCAGAGTCCAACGGCCTGTGGCAGTGCAGGGTGGCTATAAGACCTTGTGTGGCATGCCTCGCTAGAGGAGGGCTGCAGGAGAGGCCTTGGGAGTGAGCTTTGGGACACAGCAGTCCTGATTCCTCACTGACTCTGCCCTCCACACCCTGTCCGCAGAATGCCTTGACCCTGGCCCCCTCCTCGCTGGTGCTCCCTGCTGTAGACTGGTATGCTGTCAGCACCCTCACCACCTATCTACAGGAGAAGCTCGGGGCCAGCCCCCTGCACGTGGACCTGGCTACATTGCGGGAGCTGAAGCTAAATGCCAGCCTCCCCGCCTTGCTGCTCTTCCGACTACCCTACACAGCCAGGTACCCTGCTTTCGGGTACCCTGCTCCCAACGGATCAGCCTCAATAGCTGAGACCCTGCCTTCTGATAGTGCAGTGCACCCATGGCACCTGAAGCCCTTCCAGAAGGTGTTGGTGTGGTCGGAGGAGGGAGGGGGATTGAAAAGGGACAGAAAGCCCTGAGTGCAAGTGTGCAGGGAGAATAGGGGAGACTGGTGACCTTACAAGCTGCAGCCTTGACCTTGAATGGAGGCTGTGACTGGCAGCATAGAGAGGTGGGTGGGTACAGAGCAGAGCATACCCAGGGGAGCTGCCTGCCTGTCTATAGGAGGGCACTGACCTCTTATCTCTCTGATAGCGCTGGCCTGATGGCACCCAGGGAAGTCCTCACAGGCAATGGTGAGTGGCACTGGCGATCTGTCCCCTTCCTTGGCCTGCCCTTCCCCATCCTCTGCCGCCTGTGTAGCACAGTTGGTGACATGCTTCCTGAGAAGAGGCCGACAGAGACTCAAGAACTCTTTCCCACTTCCATGTCCCAGTCATTGTCTCACGAGATGATGAAGCGACCACGCAGCACTGGGCTGTGGGATGGGTGTGAGCATGGAGAGAGTCTGCCAAGAACCTGCTTTTCCCTATCAGAGTAAATCAAAGATTTGGGATGCAAGAAACTAGTCAGTTGCCACATTCTAGTTTTGGGGGACTTGGCAGTTTGCCATGAAAGACACCCCTAAGCTTTGTGCAGTGGCAGTATCGTAGCCAATGATGTCTTAGCCGAGGAGTGATTATTGCTAATTGAAAGACACTTACCCCAAAGTTCTCTTGTCTTGGCTCTGACTCATGGTGCTCCATGTGTGGCAATTGAACTGTGCTCCTAAGTGGCTGATTTTGGAGATTGCCAGGGCTTTCATCTGAGGCGCAGGGACTCTGGTGGCGTAGTCCATAGGGAGTAGCACTATTGAAGCAAAGGCCAAGCCTCTCTGGTGGTTCAAATCTACCAGTGGCTCTAAGTGAGAAAGATGAGTAATCTCCTCCCATGTGATTCCCAGCCTTGGAACCCCGGTGTGGGGAGGGGGTGCCGGGAGTTGGTTCTAACACAATGGCAGTTTGGATTTAGTTTTTGTTTTCCTCTGAGAGCCTCTGGGTAGACTTGAACTGCCAACTTTTTGGTTAACAGCTAAGTGTTTAATCATTTGCATGAGCCAAGGATGCCTTGGGATCCCGCCACAGAAGCCATGAGACCACATAATTAGATCCCTGGCTGTGCTCCCAAATGTATACCCTTCTCTAAATTCCCGACCTGTGTCCACATTTCTGGCAAATCTGTTGTCACTGCTAAGTGTTTCTTTATATACCCATCACGTCTGTGGGTGTTGCCCTGTTTCTGTTTGTTATCACTCGTCCTTTGAGGTTTGCTGAGCAGCGTTCCCATTCCCATGGTCTGGGGCAGGTGGATGGAGGGCTGGCTGGTGCTGGCAGCTCAGAGGTTGATGGGAACCTGGAGAGTTCCGCAGCATCACACCACAGGTGGTGAGGCCATTGTGGTGTATGCTCCTCATGACCAAGTGATCGGGTCGTGTCAGCAGCATGTGACCCCCGTTTTTTGCTCTCCCTGCCGTGTAGACGAGGTCATCGGGCAGGTGCTGAGCACCCTCCAGTCTGAGGACGTGCCATACACTGCAGCCCTCACAGCAGTGCGCCCTTCCAGAGTACGTGCCCTTCTTTTCGGGGTGCTGGAGGAGTGGGGTGGCGGGGTGCACAAGTTGATGCAGGGGGTATTGGGGGACTGGGGGGAATGCTTAAGTTGGGCCTCCTCCCCTCAGCAGTAGGTGCCACCTCTGCATGGTGGGCTCCTGGGCTCTCAACATGAACCCAGTCGAATGTGTCTGTGGCTAAGAATTAGGATTATAGTCTGGGTTGTTTTGGACTGGGAGAACTATTTGGAAGAAGGGTTCTGAGTCTTGCCAGTGGGTGTTGATGAGAGGCTTGTCCTCTGGGGAGGGGGCAGGGCAGGTAGTCTGGGCCCCCCTGGTCTAGAGTGGAGGTGAGAAGATGCTGGGGTTGTCCTCACAGGTGATCCGGGATGCTGCCATGGTTTCTGGAGGGCTAGGTCGGCAGCTGCTAGCAAAAGCATCACAAGTGGATGTGCCTCACCCCCCTGTGAGCTACAATGACACAGCCCCCCGGATCCTGTTCTGGGCCCAGAATTTCTCTGTGGCTTACAAAGACCAGTGGGTGGACCTGACCCCCCTCACCTTTGGGGTCCAGGAGCTCAACCTGACTGGCTCATTCTGGAACAGCTCTGTTGCCGGGTGAGAGCACTTGGGCTGAGAGGTGGGTGGTCGAGTGGGTGGGGATGGCAGGATCTGGCTGGGTGTGGTCCTGGGGGATCGTGCCAAGTTCTGCCTCCACACTTTCTGGTCTTTGCTTTGGACCTTGGATGTGAACTTAATGCCTCCCCTAGAGCAGAACTTGCTGAACAGAACCAAGGGCTGGTACTGGTCCAGCTTCCAGAGCCAGCTCCGGGACTCCTATGCCCTTGCTATGTGGCTAGAGACTGCTCCTCTGTTTGCCTTCACCCTCTAAAACCTACCCTCGGCACTCCCGTTCCCTTCATGGAATGAAGGATGAAGCCTGAACTCTGGGAATCAGAGGAACGAGCTTGGAGCTGGAACTGAGAGAGATCTGGCTTCTAGCTCATTCCCGAGTTCCGACGGGGGACTGGGGTCTTAGTTTTCCCACCTATAATAGGGGAGCCCTGATTCCTAGATGCTTATGAGGACCTGGTAGCTGCTTGAGCTTCTTCTCAGGGCCTCACCACAGGCCTTTTCCTTTGACCCTGCAGACTCTCATTGACCTATGAGCAACTGTTTGGTGCCAGAGTGACATTCAAGTAAGTTCTGGGGACGCCAGGGTGAGGCAGGCTGGTTGGGGCTCTGCTTTTCACTTGCCTGACTGCTCGTGCTGTTTGCTCCCAGGTTCATCTTGACTAACCGCTTCTACCCAGTGTCTGCCCGCCACTGGTTTACTCTGGAGCAACTTGAGATCCACAGCAATGGCTCTATCGACTACTTCAACGCTTCCCAGGTCACCGGGCCTAGCATCTACTCCTTCCACTGCCAGTATGTCAGCAGCCTCAGGAAGAATGGCAATCTCCTCGTACCCCACGCCAAATCCTCCCTCTGGCACTTGACGCTCCAGGACTTCCAGGTACGGAGAGGGGAGCAGGGCTGCTGTGAGCAGAGGCGGCCACAGCGGCCTTCCATTCTCTGGCCCGGGCAGATCGGACACCTGGGACTTGCTGGCTGTCCTCAGTGTGTGGACCCCAGTGTTTGTTCTGATTATGTCTTGTCTGGCCCCAGATTCAGGCCTTCAATGTGACGGGCGAGCGTTTCTCCTACGCCAGCGACTGTGCGGGGTTCTTCTCTCCAGGCATCTGGATGGGGCTGCTCACCTCCTTGTCCATGCTCTTCATCTTCACCTACGGCCTGCACATGATCCTCAGCCTCAAGACCATGGACCGCTTTGATGACCACAAGGGCCCCGCCATCTCCCTAACGCAGATAGTGTGACCACCTGCGCTGGAGGATCATGGGACATGGCAGTGGCCTGGTCCTACTTTGTGTCCTCTGGTCACACTGGACTGGAAGGCTGCTGGTTGGCATCCCATCCTATCCTTTCTTAGCATGAACCGAAGTTCCTTCGCCTGGGCTTGCTTCCTCCTCTTCTACTTTGAGGAGCAGCCCCTAATGTCTATCAACTAGATGTACATATTTGGTGTTGATACTAGATAAATCTCCCAGGCTCAGGCCTGTGATCGGGGAGGAGATATTCATTCTAGGGACCCTTCTCCCCCTTGCTCCTTATTTATTCTGGCTCTCAAACATCACCCCTTGCTGTTTATAGTGCTTTTGTGTAGCAAATGTTTTCTCCCCAAGCTTTCTGGGGCTCTGTGCAGCCACCAGGAGCTCTAAGCTGTAGAAGTACTTTAAACTGTGTGTCCTGCCTGACTGTTTTTATTTGATCCCGTTTGAGTAATATGCTAAAAGTAAGCAGTACAGTGGGATTTGTTTCTGTGGTCTGAGAGGGAAGGCTGTTGAGTGTGTCGCCGCTCTCCCCCCCCCCCCCCCCCCGCAGGTGGTTTGGATGTGATCACTGGATTTCTGGCACTTTCACACCAAAGGTGCCTGGCGGAAAGCTGGGGCACGCGACTGCTTACTTCCTAATAAAAACAGGCCACCATGCACTGGGCCTCCGGTTCCTCATTTCTCCATGGGCTAAAGGGATGCGGGAGGAAGGGCCCGGATGTAGATGGGCCTCGCTGACAGCATCACCAAAGGTGGGAAGCAGCTTTCCCTGGCTGGGCCCTAGACGCTTCTGCTGGGAGGGCTTCACATGCCGCGACGAATAACGGCTGCACTGAGTGATGGCCTGGGGCAGCTTCTGGGGCAGGCTGCCATGACAAAGGCTACGCGGCCCTTCAGTGGAAGGCCGCAGGGCGCGGTCGCCTCTCCGCGCCGCC